CGCGACTAACTTCGCCGTAAAGGAGAGACTGTTCGATTGGGTGTTGTTTACATACGAAGTGAGTGTTGGCACTTTGACTCTGCCCATCGCGTTCCAATCCTGTCCGCGTCGTTCGCTTGCGTTTTGAAGAGGACTGGGGATGGGCTAAGACTTTGAAAAGAACCTTGACTGATAACATGACGAAGGTGGTCACTTCATTTTGTGGCTACTTTCCTCTACTCACTCAGCGGAATGGAAAAAGCTTAAGCCTAATCTTTTACAACTAGAGTTTTTTTCTAGCTTAAGAAAACCTTCGCTTCAGCTGGTCTATTGAGGCGTAGGTGTTAATCTCGAGAAAATGACGTAATTATGCATAAGGATCATAAAGTGATCGTTTGCCAGTTCCCACTGGCAGAGAGACTGATTTGATATCGGGATTTCAAAAGCGATGCTTGATTCGACGCGAATCTCACCAGAGATGAAGTCCTTGAAAAAGCATTGGAAATAAAAAACTACTAAATTACTGTGGCTGATACGAAAGGAAAGCATTCAATTGTACACCCATCCTCGGAGACCCAGGGGCTGTGGGTCGATTTCAAGTTAGGGCATGAAGAGCCCCTGGGGACATTGTCTTACAAGACTTGTTCCAAACGGTAGCAGTCATTCTGCCATCTGATTGGTGCCAGAAAATCTTTGTTTTTCTGCCCAATCAGAGTGAAATGTGCTTTGGAGTCCTTTCGTGTGTTGTAACACGGATAAATACTAATTGCTCAATTGCTCGCTATGTTTGTTTGGGCTGTGCGACGGAGATTTGCTTGAGGTGAAAAGTTTCAGTCTCAGCACACAATGTAAGAGGAATCGATCAGATTGTCTGCGAAAATCTTACCGGAAATTATACTGAATACTTTCGCAGGTATCACTAGAGAACGTGTTTTAGAGTTTGCGAGGTTTGTATACAACACGATGGCTGCAGTCATTGATATGTCGCTTTAAATGTTAAACGAGATTTGAGCTTAAATCTTTCTGGATTATTTGCATAATTTGCTATGACTGAAACTTTGCCAATCCCGTGAAGTAATTTCGTCGCACGGGCCACGCAGGTATGTCGACGATGACCATCTTACTTTATATGCATGACAAATCAGAATAAGCTAAATGGAGCAAATTTACAATCACACGCCATATTGATACAGATCCTGAATTTGATCTATCTCGGCATTCGAATATCTTTTACTTGGGACTTGTTACCTCAAGTTTACTTTTAAAGGCATCGCACAAATTTGAAAAACGATTTGTCGCTAATTGGCCTGATTACACTCACCTGAAACATCCATACAGAAATCTAAACATTGTTACGAGTTGAAGCGACAAATTGATGTTCACAAGTTGAGAGTATTTGTGGTTTACTTTAAACTTGAAGGGTCGATTATTGAAACGAAGTCTAGTTTGGGCTGCGGGTTTTTAGCGATCAGTCAAGTTCCTTATATGTTTCTTTTTTTTTAAGTAATCAGATGTTTGTTTTAGCGGTCTATATAAGCCATTTTGACAGTTTCACAAAAACTTAACGTTTACGACTGATATTTTCTACTTGACGTAAAATTGTTACAGCGAAGTTTGGATGAATAAGGGTTCAAGTTTGTTTTAATTTATAGCCGGCGCAAAAAGTTCACGTTGAGATGGAGCTCGAACTTAATACCCCTAAGCATTTGCGCGTCGTTACCAACTGAGTTGGGAAGCAAATGTGTGAGTAAACCACCTGCTGTCTCCATACAAACAAACATGCAACTCCATGGCTACGGCACCAGAATAATTATGGCGTGCATACATTGAACTATGCATAACTTATTAATATACAGAATTAGGGGAAAAAAAGCAACTAAAAAATAAACCTAATATATCAAATTGAAAACCTTCATATTTTTCCCAGAGATACCTTATAGCGAACTTAGATCCTTGGTAAGGTTTTCTTCTTGCTTTTTTTAATTGTAGAAAATTCATGAAAACTGAAATAAGCGTCGGAATCCGTGAAATGGCGGAAATCAGTGCCCCGAGTAGAGGCAAATGAACTTCGCTCATGAATAGCGCAAATGATAGCAAGTTCGTATCGATTTGATAATTTTGTATAGGAGGGATTGAGGTATGGTTTAAGTCTAAAATGGGACCATTTCATGTAATTTGGAGCTCATGAAACAAGTGAGATGGAGTGGTCAGTAGTACAATCACTACGGTTTCTTCCTCATGTATGAGAATCGTGATTCCCTTAACGAAACAAGGAACTGTACTAAAAATTCATTAATAGTCTACCAAGAGCTTTTCTTGCACCCGGTGTTAACAAGTTAAGTCGATACACACACAAATTTGTTTTTATTCCCCACTGTTTTAGCAAAACCCTAAGAACGTATAAGATATAACGGCTGGTGAGTGGAAATAGGTGATGTGTTCACTTGTTGATGTGAAATTGTAAGTATGTATTATGATGCATCAAAACGAAAAGATTGTCTGGCAGTTGCAATTACAATAATTTATCGTACTTTCCGCATGGCTGCTTTATGCGTGGTTTGTTGTCGCTTTACACGTGCAGCGCGATAGAGGAAAGTCCGAAAGTTACACAGCGTAACAGATCATTAACATAACAAAATAGAAACATTGTTGCTTAGGGAAGCTACAACCGTCTGCCATGACAGAAGTTCTTGATTTTCCCTTGAAATGCGGATGCAACAGAAGATAAATAATTTTTCATAACAAATTTGTCCTTTGAATTTTTCGGGATATTTCTAATTTTTATCCGCTCATGCGGTGAGGCTGTGTGACCTGTCGCCTGCGCGTTAGCCTCGGGGGTTTCACGCGTTGCCTAAAATATACTTCTTTAAGAAGTACAATGACTCGATTTATTAGGTGCGCCTTCCCACCCGCTGATTTCGGCCGGGGCTAAGGTTTTTTCGGATAAAGTTTGGCTGCCGCAAGACAGTTATCAATGACGGCCATGCAATCGTATTTGTAGGATGTAAAGACAACATTACAGCATTTTCAGCGGAGATTTGAAGGAGTTCCCACGAAATTGAACATTGAAAACTTGTGAGCAGTGAGAAGAACCTCATTGTGAGTATTAGTATTAAGGAACGTTGCGGCGAAATGGCATCATCTGCTAGGATTTGTTTGCATGAAAATATACTTAACGATATTGTGAAAAACAAAATCAGAGCCACTCATTTGTGCCCAAGAAAACAGGGAAAAAGCTGTTTCCTTTCGGCTAGCGAAACCTCCGTTTGGAAAATGGTCGAAGACAACTTTTTTTACCCCGATGTGTCAACGCGGCATAGATCAGATGGGAACAGAATTGTTTTGAAAAAGAAAATCCTTTACCAGTTGGCATCCATGGAAGGAATGGAGCGCTGTGTTTTTTTTTGACCGTGATCTACGACATGGTGGACCGAATAATAATTACTGCGTTTCCAACAAAATGAGTTTTCAAAGCTTTTTATTAAACGTAACTTGCACAGAAGTGATTTTCCGAAGAATTCAAAAGTTTGTGTTAATCAACAATTTTCTCATGCTTCATAGTTTGTCAAGTCAAATTAATCTTGCTTTTCAAGATGGCAAATAACTGAGGAACAAAAGCCGCGGTTACCCTAAGGAAACTCACAATGCCGGTTACCACATGCTGGAAGGAATTAGGCAAGTAAGTGAAGAACAAAAGCACTGTGAGTGCCATCAAGGTAAACGGCTTTTGTGTTTTTTGCCACTTCTGTTTCTGAAAACCAAGAGCCATGATCGAGACGGCGCTTGATCTTTCCACTTGAAATTCTGTGATGATGGGCAGTAGAAATAAAGTACGTTTTAAATATGTTGTTTTGGTTTATTAATGTGTTCATTTATTTATTCAGTTATTCTTAATTTGATTTGATTTTTTTTATTTGATAACTCTTCGACTACTTTCAATCGTTTTATTTCGCAAATTACCAGATTCTTAAGGCTGGTTAGTTAAACAAAGTTTAGCCGTTGTTCAACAAAGCCGCGTTCTAGGCCATCTTCAATTTAGCCGAACTTTTTATCAGAACCTTTATTTTTATGAACAGTGTTAAGAGGGCTGAAGCCTAATAAATAGAAGAAGCACATTTATTAAATTGATTCAACCCTCTTATAGAGAATCTCTGAGGCCCACTACTTACGTAAAATCGCGGTCTGAGCCATACATCGTGTTTATAACTTGAACCGCCACATAGTGTGCGCCGACGATGGTGATCTTGCTTTACCTCCATTTTAATTCAAAGGAAGTTAGCTAAATAGACCAAAAATACAATCACACGTTATATTCATACAGATCCTGAATTTAATCTATTTCGGCATTCGAAAAACTTTAACTTGGGACTTCTTACTTCAAGTTTACTGTTAAGAGCATCGAACAAATTTGAAACATTTTTTTCGCTAACTGGCCTGATCACACACTCACATGAAACATCCACGCAGAAACTTAAAGCATTGAGACGAGTTGAAGCGACAAATATTGATGCACAAGTTGAATGCATTGGGATTATTCGTAGTTAAAGTAAACAGGTAGGGGCGCTTATTGATACGAGGTCTAATTTGGGCTGCCGGTTTTTCACGATCAGTGAAATGAGTTTCTTATATGTAATCAGATGTTTGTTTCAGGGTTCAATATAAGCCATTTTGACAGTATCACAAAAAATTAAAGTTTACGGCTGATATTTTCTACTTTACGTGAAATTATTACAGCGAAGTTTGGATGAATAGAAATTAAACTTTGTTGTGATTTATAGCCGGCGCAATACGTTCATGTTTAGATGGAGCTTGAACTTAAGTCCCCTAATTACCAGTTGGGCGAGAGGTCACAGCGTCAAAAAAAAAAAAAAACTGAAAGGACATCATAACCATCTTGAAAAGCAAGATTAATTTGACTTGATAAACTATGAAGCATTAGAAAATTTTGATTAACAAAAATCTTTGAATTCTTCGGAAAATCACTTCTGTGCAAGTGACAC